AATGGAAGCTGAACTGAGCCACTGTGTTCTGTATCCTCATTCCACTGAAGCTGCTACAGCTAATCTGCTGTCAGAGCAGAGTTGAGGCTGTTAATGGGGAAAAAAATGTGAAAAAATAAATAAATAAAAACAACCTGGTGAAGTTTTTAACATGTTTTTAAAACCGTAGAAATGGAAAAGTGGAGAAGCTGAGGGATGCGGGCCAATTTCATCTGTAACACATAATTTGTTCGGCTGAACTGTGCTCCGCTGTGGCATGGGCAGCAGAGATAACCACGATGATGGTCACCGAACTTCAATGAACTTGTAAAATTTTCATTGCCCCATTTGTCATGCCTTTCTGACAGGGCAGCAGTGGCCTATAGGGACCAAGCTTTGGACGGGAAGATCAGCAGCAGGGAAAATGAATGCGTAACCCCTACTTCCTCCTGCCATCCCTCGACAACGTCCGTGATGAATCCCAGAACTGCTGCTGCACAACCAGCTCACCGCAGCTGCTCGGTTCACACAGTTAATGCAGTTCAGCAGTACTGGATGGCTCCCAAATGTGACTGTAAAGCAGGCCGGTGAATAACAGCAGGTACGCTCGCTCAACTTTCCCTGGAAAGACAAAGGCTAGAAAAAGGCTGTGCACAGTTTGGGGGAGCCATCTGTGGGGAAGCTAACTGCATCCAGACTTTAATAACGGTGGGAGAACGATTTTAATGAGGGCTCAATATCTCCAAATCAGAACTGGGAAGCTTTGAGTCAGGAAAATAGAACAGGTGCAGAGAGCCTCTCACAAAGGCTCTAGACTCATTCTGGCACATCACACCTTAGTAAAAACTGGTATAGCAACGGGACCAGTCAGGCTCTGTGCTTCAACACATTCAATCAGAATTAAAACAATGGATACCACAGTAAAGTGCCAAGTCTCATGTTTGTGTACCAGGTTGTAAACGTTTATTTCTGCAGTAAAATTGGGCATTTTATCACGGGAGTCTATGGGGATTGACTCCCTTTTGGATCCAGCCTCAAGTGGCCGTTCGAGGAACTGCAGGGTTTGGCACTTGTGCACTGGCTTCGATTCTCAGCCTGGGAAGTTGCCGCTTGGGGCTTCCCTCAACATCCTGCTTCAGAATTACATCATATTAAGGAGCATGCTTTGTGCCATTTATATGGCACAAAGCATTTATATGGCACAAAGAGGAGAAGAAGTATGTGTTGCTCAGGAAATAGGGGCCAGAAGGTGACAGTAATTACAACAAGGAATGTGAAGTGTACATTGGAATGTGTGTGATGATGAACTGGATGCTGTGCAGCACAGACTGGCTGAGTCTCTGTACAACTGGGACCAGACTGCAGAGGAGGCCAGAGAGGTGCCGAGTGGGCGTTGTGTGTCCCCCACACTACAGCATACAGTGGAGAGGCCCATAGCTCTGTCAGAGAGCTCCACTAGTGTTATAAAATGTTTAACGTCCAAAGCATAAGTATTGTCACCGTGAGCTAAAGTAACAGCTTTTACTTGAGTCATGGATTTGTAAGGAGGCCAGAAATGCACAGTAATGACATTCATTTACTCACTGTCAGAGTGTGCAGAGTGGCCAGAGGTCAAAGTTTCTGTGCACAAACTAGATGCAGTCAGGGCTTTGACACTGTCACCACAGATTTTAGTAATCAATCAATAATAAAAATAGTTTAAATTGAACATTAGAGAGTTTTGTCTGCTGAATTACAAGCGTAGGACATGTCATTGTGCATGTGTTTCCCAGCTTCCTTTCTGTTTGCATTAATGTTGGTACAGACCCAGAATGTAGAATCCTCTCAACAAAACTACCCTCATCTTTAATTTCTCATAATTTAAGGCATCTTCTCTTTTGATACATGATGAATCTGGGTGGCACAACGCAAATGAAATAAATTAGCAGTTTTTTATGATGTGACTGGCTTTTATTTTGATGTTAATAGGCAGCAGTGGAGGCTCTGCAGGTATTTAGTCATGTGCTTCCATTTTTAGCACTTTTAGGGTTGTTTTTGCCAAGTTGGAGATATTGCGGCTATCACACTACCCCCAACTCTGAAATACAACTCAGCTACTTGTAATCAGTGACTCCCAAGGAAAGAAGCAGCATTATATTCAGTAAATGGAAAAGGAGGACATTTGAATTATGATTCCCATCCCTTTTGGAGCACAGGAAGAAACAGCAGAGAGGTAGCAGAGAGCAGAAGAAAGGGTAATTTCCCGTTTCCTGCCAACAACAATGTGAGTTTCCTAACATTTACAACAGTTATGATGAAGGTGCCCTAACTCTAAGGTGCATCTCATAATCAAGTTGTTTATGTGCTTATATTAACCACAGCGGTGTATGATCAGAGCTATGTGTATGTGTCAATCTAAAGGGCAGGGACAGACAGTAATTCCACATGAATGAAGAATTAGTCATGAGCCCACCATACTCCTGTGGGTGGAGATAAAAACAAATAAAGAGGTCGGGGCATCGGATTTACCCTGCTCCATCAGGCTACCTGGTTCTAACAGTCTGCTATGAGTGCACAGTCCCTCAGCAGTGGGAAAATGATTAGGTCGCCCCCACAGTTCAATCTGAGATGATCCATTTGGCCGCTCTGCTCTCTCCAATTGAAGGCCAGAAAATGGCCACTTGAGTGCTTCTGGGTTTTGGTAAAAATGAGAATTGAGGCTGTGGACACATTTCAAACTGTCATCTGTCAGCCCTCCAAATGCTTTATAATAACACCCAATTATGCGTTCTGAATGATGTTGCTAGGTTACAGAGTGGCTGGGGGGGGGGCATCCAGTGGTCAGTCAGTGTCATGGGCCGATAGAAGTCCCACACTCAGCCACTTGGCAGCTTCAGCCTGAAACATGCTCCGAAATCCACATCTGGTGATTAGAATGTGCAGATCAGTGAAGCGTGGTGAGGGAGGCCTCAGGTCTGGAGATGCACCAGAAGTTTCCCTCAGGCAAGTTTCACTGCTCATTACCTTCTGAAGAAAGCACCATGTCTTTATCGAGGACATTACATTTGATGCAAAGTATCTGTTTATGGTTTTTACTGCAGATTTTACTGGATGCTACAAAGGTCGATGTTGCAAACAAGTGTGTGCAGCAGTGATTCTTTCCCCTGCAAAGTCTTTGTTTTAAAATAGTTCTGTCCTGCTTCACTCATTAATTTTTATATTTTTGCTGTTACATCCTTTATTTCCCACTGTGCAGTCTACAGTTCTTTTTCCATCTCCACCCTTTTGCTGTTGTAGCGACTTGATTTCCCAACAGGATCCGCCAACCTTCATCTTAGCTTCTATTATCACATTTCTTTTCTGTCGTCTCAACCTGTCTGGTGCCTGATCCCTGCTGAGAATCCTCACTTTTCCTTGTGGACCCTTGATCATAGTCTCTATATGTAATGCGTGGCTGAAAGCATAACACCAGGCGGTGCAGTGAAATTGAGGGTTTTCATTAATAGCTGTTTTTCCTAAGGCAGACTTTTCCCTCCACAGCTACACCTGTGCACCGCAGTGCATTGATAATCACCAAGAGTTAAAGCTGTTGTGTTGTGTTTTAGGATGGAGTTTACTTTAACAGGGGCGGCTGTGGCTCAGGAAGTAGGGCGGTTGTCTCCTAACTGGAAGCTCAGCGGTTCACTTCCCATTCTCCCCAATACACATGTTGAAGTGTCCTTGGGCAAGACACTGAGCCCCAGGTTGCCCCGATGGCCAGGACAGTGCCTTTCAGGGACAGTACCACCACTGGTGTGTGTGAGTTGGTGCTGCAGATGGCTGCCTCAGTTCTGTACCGGAGACACATTCTTTGTGTGTCTAACATACTTGGCCAATAAACGTGATTATAATATTATCTGATTAAACTCTAAATACTAACCACCTTTTAAAAAATCCTTTGGGAGTTAAACAACTGAATTCATTTCACTTCTGTTGCTGGAAGCCAAATCACTGGTTCACTCATCTTTTGTTTTTCACTCCCAAAAAACTGGAAACTGCCCAAAAAATTGTGATACAGGCTCCTACAGTATGCGAGGAAGAGCTTGGTGATAACTACCCACACTTGGGATGACATGTTTGTAGCACAGGCAGACACAGGAACAGAAAACATGCATTTCCACTGTTTTATCATGTAAGGACCAGATGCAGAGAATCTCAATGCAAATAAAAAAATTCAACAGTCAGTCAAATTACCAAATGACACACACACCTGTTGTGTTTCCATCACTCCATTAACTTGCATTCATTTCCAGGAGACTTACCCTAGCCTTAAACACAGTAATCACTCTAAAATGCAATGATTTACATTTTGGGGACTTGCTTTTTGTCCCCACACTTTGAGTGTGTAAACAGATTTACATCCCCACAACATGTGAAATAGCAGGCCACACACACAAACACAGCTATGTACTACCACTGCTGCTGCCAGTGACCTAGAGACCTCCAATATGGCCGCCATATGCAAGACTGGCTGCAATATAGACACCTGAGAACTATAGGCAGATAGCTGCCTGAAAACCAATCAGAATAAAGAGATCTGTCATCCATCATATATAATAAAAATCAGTTTAAACTCTTTAGCTCCACTATCCTTCTGGTGTGTCCTGTTTGAATTGCTACCCTCTGGTAGACGTCAGCTACCAAAACACGCACCAACAGATTCAGAGACAGTTTTTACCCACAGCCATAGCCATATTAAATAAACAAATTATTGTTGTACCACTGCCAAAGCTGCTATTCCGCATTACAGATGCAATTTAAAACTGTGCAATCTTAATTATCTATGCATATTTATATTTGAATATTTGTTGATTTAATGTGGAGCATCTGTACTGGGAACATGCTGTCTTTTAGTCAGGCCAACAGAGGCAGGACCACTTCAGGTTTAAACATTGAGAAGAAAGTCACTGCAGCCAGACCAGTTTCATCCTGTCAGATGACATTAGTTGACTCATGAACACATCGAACCCACAGCAGCCACACACACACACACACACACACCCTCACCTGTATATGAGTATATCATCTGTGGAGCTGTTGTACTGGATCTGGTACATGCGGACTCCTGGTATGTGATTCTGCGGGGGCCACCTGATGATAGCAGAACTGGATGTCAGATCTGACACACTGACCCTCTGCTGATCGGACCGAACCTGGCCTCCGCTGACGTTGGACTTGATTGATGTGGGGATGTCTGAAGGCCCCGGGTCAGGGTCCAGTTTGGGATCGAAGTGTGGAGATGGGTTGACAACTAACTCCACTGGAGCAGTGGCCTCCCCGGCTGCATTAGACGCTATGCATGTGAACTTTCCAGAATCCTGGAAACCAAAGGTTAACTTCTATCATTGCTATAATGTGAGTCTGGCCCAATGAAACCAATTATACTGAACATACTGTTTATGTTTCAGTCAGCTAATTCATGAAGGAACATTTCCAGTGCTTTAAAACAAATCAGCTACCCCCAAAGGTGTAGACGTGTACTTTTATATCCTATAAAGGGGTCATTTGTGTAACTATATCAAAGCATTAAAACTTTCTCTAATATAACAGAATATGACTCACACATTTTGGAAGTGAAACATTTGAGCAAAGATGTTTTTTAATGTAATAAAACAGATGGAGCTCAAGAGTTCTGCATGGCTAACAAGCTAGCAACTGACTAGCTGACATGCAAATTTACAGTATTTCAGGTTCCTAATGTTGCACTTGTTGATCTATACACTAGATCATTAAGCACTGGAGTCTATACCAAAGGCAATATAACAAGGCAAACAAAAAAAGCAGAGTAAGACTTCTACAAAGCTAGCTAAGCCTGCACACAGCCATAGTCATAGAAAATGAAGGCACTGCTCTACCTTGACAGAGGCCTTGAGGATGTCAAGAGAACCGTTCTCATAGCAGATGGTTCTGGACGTGTTTCCAATAAGCTTTCCATCAGGGCTGACCCAGTGCGTCGAAGGCTCAGGATCTCCGATGGACTTGCAGCGCAGGCTGACCTCCTGCCCCTCCATCACAAACATCTTGGAGGTGTGACGAGTAATCATGGGTGGCTCACAGACAAACTCCTCCTGTTAGAAGACAAAAAACAGAACAAATATATAAACTCGCACAGATTAACATTACAAAAATTCAAGCATGTGGCATGTCACTGGGAGTTCATTCCCTAAACTCTATTATAAAAAACTGCAGTAAAAGTACAGTACTATCAAACGGAACAATGTTGGTAACTGTATTTGAAGAGTTGCTGAGATTTAAACTATAGTTTTTGATTTATAGTACAAGTGAGATAAAATATCCAAGAGGTTAAGAGAAAAACGCACCACTTCAGCAGGGGCAAAATCCAAATCTCCACCTGCTCTGCCCATTTATCTGCATACGGACACTGAATGATTTCTAGTGGTACAGTATGTGCATCTGACAGTGGAGGTTCAGAAGTTGTTCAGTTGCTTGCACATGAAGATTAAGTGATCTCAGAGTTTTTCAGCCCTTGCACTACTTAAAACCACCCACTGGCACCTCAGTCTGTATAAAGCCAGGCAAGCCCCTGGTGGAGTATTACTGCAAGGCCAGGCAGGGCCAGCTGAAGCTTACCAGGGCTTACTCATCATTCCTCTCACTCAGTGTGTCTCACTCTATCCTGGCTGCTTCTGGGGTCTTGTTACCAGCAGAGATGATTGTAGACCTCATGACTGCTGGGCTCCAGCTTCACATAAACCACTAGTACTGCACCTTTGTATTACAGCCTGACCCTCAATTGCTGTGGTCAAAAGTAAAACACTGATCGAGGCTGCTCCCTGGTGTGACTGTGTGGAAGTGTGAATGTATGTGAATGTGTACTGGAATGAGAACAGTATGAATACTCCCTCGTTCATGGATGACTTAAATATCTGGCCTGTCTGTCTAACTCTGAAAGTCGAGCTAAAGCCAACTGCCACAACTTTTATTGACTTCAAAGTAGGCACTACCTTGGAAGCTAATGGCTAATGTCTGACCTCTGATGGATGCAGCGGCTGCATCCTTGTTCTTGCAGTGGGAGAGAGGCTATTAAGTCTCTGAGCATTAATATGCCTGAACACTTTGGTGACACCGAGGTCTCTGGATCGACCTCTGTACAAGTCTAATCCTCTTACAGTGATACTACAGCACCGCTCTGAAGGAGGAACAATTGTTACTCGGGGCGAGGCAAAGGTCTTTACATCATCCTCTCTAAGATGATACCAATTAATCCCATCTTTTTTTCGGGGTGCACCTCAGCCCATCACTGAAACTCTCAGACAGACTCCTGATGATCTCCTGGTAAAGCAAAGCCCTCTGTACATCCTCTTTAACATCTTGAAACACTCCACTTAAGTCTGCTGTTATCTCCCCAAGTATAGTAGTTCTGCTGCTGTATAAAAGCAGGTTTCCAGGTGTGTGGTGAAGAGCAGATCTCTTAGAGGCCCCTTGACCCTTAATCACAACTACAGTATATACTGCAATAACACATCGTTGTCAGTGATGCCTTGTGCTCTCTGAGCTGCTCTATAATGTCTTTTGTGTCTGCTAGCTTTGATATGAAGGTAGTGGATCATCAGTATATCAGCAATAGCAAAAATGTTAACCCTCCACCGTGCAAAGGTGCAGTGTGGAGTTGTGTTCTTGATTGTAATTCATGCAGACACATAATTAATAATGCCACATACGGTTCTGTCAGATATATGATGTCATTACCGACAAGAATCATTTTCGTTCCAGACCAAAAACTGTTTTATTTATACTTAAATTTGTATGTTACTCGTTGTCCCACTATCTTTGTGCAAAGGACGCCGCCACTGGTTCAGACCTTTAGTTGCCCAGAGCAGCAGAGAAGTCTGCAAGACTTGACTGTGTATGATAGCAGTGTACCCCTCAGAAAATGAAAAACATTAAGTCAGTAATCACCCAGGCTGAGCTGTACATTCACAAGAACTGCCTGCACATGCTGTAACCAGTTTTCATTCAGCTGATATCCCTGCTTCTGGATTTGTGAGTCCAATGTTGGGTTTTCACAAGAAAGTTGAATTTTATTCAGAGGAACATGTCATTTGGTTTGTGTTCAAGCTTTACTTAACCAGTGGAAAGAAGGAAGGTGTAATGCTGGGAATGACAGGGTTAATTGCTTTATTGTTCTTCATGCCCATATTTTATTAAAAAACAGTTTTAATGCAGTCTTCTAGATTGTTTTTGTAACATGTCTCCAGAGACTTAGGATGAAAAATAACGTTACTGCTATGCTGGCAGTAATGTTTATTAATGTGCACTGTTAAACAAAGCAATAAAACCATATGCAGATGAATAAAGGCCAAAGTCGAGGCCACATCTTTTTTTATTTTTGCCTTTTATGGCTTAATTTCCCCTATACTCAATTATCTTTGTGGCTCAATAAACCAGATCCTGTGTATTTGCTGCAACATAAACCGGGACGTTTCATAACCCTTCTATGTTTCTTCTAATTTTACTATTGAATATAAGGCAGAAATATGTTCTTTTGCATATCAAACTCAATGACTCCACCCTCTTAGTGGCCACCCTCTGACACACCAACCATGTGCCCTGCTGATGTGTCCTTGAGAAAGTGATTATAGTTATGTATCCAAAAGGGCCAAAGTTAGGACAGCAGAAAAACACATTTGGCTGCAGGGTGTAGCCAGTCTCTATGGCTAGCATGTTACATGATTTTTTTTGTTGACAAATTCATATTTGCAGCTAAAGATGATTTCTATTATCAAGAAGTACACATATTTGGCTTTTAATTCTTAGGTAACAAGCTCAGTCAGAGGCTTCTTAAACACTCTGTTTAGACACTTACAGCTCCAGGCAAAGACAGCTTTACTTAAGTACCTTAACCAAGGCAGAATCTTGTAGATCACAGGGTTTAGACCCAGATTACCTGTATAATGCTAATGTTTTTGTGACAGGATGCTGTGGCCAGTCATTGCTTCTGAAATCTGACTTTTATGACATGATATTAGGCTTCTGTGGCTTTAGCATAACTGTACACACCTCTCTAATGGTCCAGAAGTATTTGCCAGCCAGATCTTTAGGCGAAGCGCAGGTCTCCAGGTCGTCCTCCCTGGTCACTCTGCGAAGCCAGACCAGCTCACAGTTACAGTGCAGAGGATTCCCGCCAAAACTCAACACCAGCGATGTGAGAGGAGAACCCTTCATCTTAGCATACACTGGGATCCGCAGGAACAATGGGTCTGGAGGAATCTTCTTCAGCTTGTTGGATGTCATGTCCAGCCTGAGGACAGAGGCAGACACACAGACATAGGGACCAGTCTGTATACTATAGCCATGTACTGAAGAGCAGACATCAACTTGTCTGATGATAATGTATATAAAGTACATTTATAACAAAATGATACAATGACAACTTCCCAACATTAAAATATTTGAATATAATTTTCAGAAGAGAGTTTGGTTAAACTTAGAATAGAATTAATTTGGACATTCTATCAATTAGATTGGAGCTAAAGTAGAGCTGGATATATGAAGCCAACCCTATACATTACTGGTAATACTTCAAAGCTACCATTGAAGTCACATCCTCAGTACCTTTCTGGGAATGATTGGGTGAAGCTTAAAAGTAGCTTACAGTCACCATTTAAAACACATAGTTGGTTTTGAATGTGGAGCCTGATGTTGGGGAACCAGAACAATCTGACAATATAAGTGGGCTACTGGAACAAACCATTCATGGACAAGAGATGAGACCTTGGATCTGATGAGATGCTACTACAACAGCAGACCCAATGAGAGGGGGTAGTATGAAACATATGAAGCACTTGCAGCAAGGCTAAAGAGATACATCAAAGAGACAGAGGCTAAAAGGGTCAATGCCCTGTTGTCCAAAGAACCATCCAAGGTGTACTCCCAGCTACAGTACAGCAACACAGTCAGAGCAGAGCCAGTGAAAGCAGAAACTGGAACTGGAAGAGCATATGGGAGGAAGAGAAGACACAGGACACCAGCATCCAGTGACTGCAGGGCCTGAGAGCAGACCACAGGAATCTCCCAGAACAGGAACCAGCCACCATCACTGTAGCAGACAGTGAGTCAGAAACATGACGAGCTGGACAGCGCCCGGTCCAGGCATGATCAACAGCAGTGCAGGAACGCCTAGCAGCACAGGTGAACCATATATATGTGTATATATAATGAAAAGAAAATAGACTGACTTAATATTTCTCCAGAGTTCTGTTTCTTAAGGCCGTGGGGCTGAACAAGGCCTGTTCATTTGGTTCAAGTCCAACCCAGAGGCAGAGACAGGGAGGAACACAATACAGTCAGTTAGTTGTACAGTACAGTCTGTCAGAGACTAATAACTTCTAATCTTCAGAGTGGGTGTTGTGTTGTGTTTAGGAGTCTTTGAAGTCAATTTTGTACATTTCATTTCTGAGCCTACTCTATTTGTGGTGGTGGTTTCTTTCTTTCTTTAGTTTTTTTCTTGACAGTATAGATATCAGTGCACTTCAGAAGTTTGTTGTTGTTTTGATGCTCTTATACTTTCAAGATTGCAACGGGATTTACAGTAATTACAAAAAACAATCTTCATCCCTCCTGGCACTGTGAGCAAGGAGTGTAGAGAACCTCATTTGTTTCGGGTGTTGGGGTCCTATTACTCTACCTCCCTGCATGTAAAACCGGCAGCTGAATGGATGATACTTTTATGCTTCTGAGCAGTGTGCATAAAGTCTCTGATTAAATATCTGCTGAGATCTGATAGTGGACGAATATGTCGAGGTGTGTTTGCAGCCGCTCATCATCTCTGGGAACTGAACAGCCACTTTCCTACCAAAACACTTTACCTGGTAATAATGTAATAGATTCAATCATGTACTGTTGTCAGCAACAAACACAGGAAAGTCTATTTTACCCCAAAGTCCATCCAGAAATACTCAGCAACAGTGATGACTTAACAAGAAGTTAATAGCTGCCGAGAGCCTCGAGCATCTATGATGCACTTTACAACTTTCAATTATGTTATTTCATGGGCAGTAGCCTTGCAGTGCACGAATGTTTGAGAGTGTGCTGGTGTACGGACAAATGCAGAGTTACACAGCTGGTCCATACGGGGCAGAACAGAAGGAACCCATTACAGACTTTTTAATAAATGCATGACTCTTCATGGAGATGCTTGGCTGCTGTTCCTTCTTCCATGTCAATGACTGTTGGTTGCTGGGACGTGAATTGAAATTGGTGACTATCAGTGGGGTTCAGATGCCGCATGTGCCTAAATTACTCAGTGCACACATGCAGACACAAATAATAACAAGAGTATTTATTTATAAGGCATTTTTCAAAGGCCAAGCTTTACATGCTTTGCTGGTCAGATGCCTTTTACAGTCAGCAACAATAAACCATAAAACAAGTAAAAACAGGAAATGAACAAGGGCTTCCTTAAGCAAATGGAGTCGTTATCATGTGGTTTCTTAGCATGTCTCTGTTGGAATATGGTTTCTGCCATTGGGTGTGAACGTCCTACTGGATGTTTGTCCGACTGCTCACCGACTCCTGGTTGATGACCTTTGATTCCTTCCCATTTGATGCTGTGAGTGGTTTTGGTCTGGTGTTCGCAGACAGGCAGTGTTGACGGTGTCCGACATTCATTCAGTCTCAGTGTACCGTTCCCCCAAAGCCTTCAGAGTGCACCAGAAGAGAACTTAATGTGTTGGTTTGTGATAAGAGCTGACTACTTCTAACTGAAAGACTTTGGCTAGGAGTCCTGCTGCGATGCCTCTGGTGCCTCTGGTAGGTCCCACCAGTTACTGTCAGTATGTTGGTTGGAGGTTTGGTTGGGCTGAGCACATCCACTCATTAAGATAGGCCAACAGATGTGGCAGAAAGTTCTGGAAACAGAGCGGGTAGATTTTTTTGTTGAGATTTTATTTTCCCCAAGCTGCTTTTCTCAAGATCAGGGAAGTCTTTTAAGGCAGGATTTTGTTTTTGTGTGACTATATAAAAAAAAAAAAAAACTCCTGTATTATTCTCTATTAAAAATATGTATTTGTTCAAAGACATTGTTACAAAGTTTGAAGGCCACTGTGGCAAAGCCGGGGTCGGGCCAAGATTTTGTATATGATGTTGGCACAGAAAAGTGTTTCCTCAGGCAGCGACTGGACTCATAATGAGGTAGAAGTTCAGTGATGTACTGTAGCTGTGAGCCAGAGCAGCAAGGACCCTGGATATATTTAAAGAAATCTTAAACTGCATCCTCAGATGTACTGGCAGCAGTGTCAGCGTAAAACTACAGCAGGACTTCTGTGCTCTTTTTTTCTACTTTACATCTTGTAGTAAAGCAAATCTGATCAGAAAGTGTTTACAAATGTATACAGTATTAGGAGGATAGTCAGGGGTTAATTTGTGCTGGAACAAGCCAGATCCAAATTCAATACGTCTCAAATTGTGACCGGCGCCTATTTTGAAAGACCCAGTACTTTAATTTACATATGCAAGAAATTGAACATGGGAATTATGTATAACAATCCAAGGTCTAATACTTTTGCTACAACTAGCCTTTTACAACAGCATATTACCCTAAATCAGAACAATTAAATAAGGTAAAAACAGCCATTTAGGCTAATTACATCACAACTTAACCAGCCTGCGCAGGTCACACTGGGTCAGGTGCACATTCAGCCATGGAATGAAAATGCAAAAAAGATAAATTTGGTAAACTATTTCAAATGACAGCAGGCGAAGTTTATCAGAAATCAGAAGGAAACAGGCCAAGCTGGACCCAGTTATAAAGCTAAACTGTTAATGAAAAGGTTGGTACAAGCCAGTGTGATGCTGAGCTCATGGGTTTCAAATGGCCGTTAGACTGCACGAGATCACAATAGCAAAGCATAGAGGACTCCTGCCCCAAGACTGAGTTATGGGCTGTTTTAAATAATGAAAGGTAACATGTTTATTTAATGTTACTGCATTATATAGTCTCTGGTCTGCCTCTACTTTGCTGTAATACTCTGAATGTTAATGTGTATTGGAGTAATAAGGCTCCAGATATGATGTCACGCTTGCTATTGATTGAAAGGATCAGAGGCCGTAGCCTCGCAGTCCTAATGTATTTAGCATCACTCACACTCAGGTTTTATAACTCACACTTGCAAATGTCTTATGTGATTAATTGGCCGCTTATAGTAAATTACCCATCTAGACCTGGTGGAAAATAGCATGAAAGTAACAGTTTCTGGATTTCATTTGAGGAACGCTTAGTGTTAGACACAACACAGAGCTGTTCAATGTAATGTGGTTATCTATTTTCTGTTTTCTATCAAAAACAGACAGATATATAAAACAGATTCATTCCGATCAACATGTTTGAGGAGCCTGTGCCAGTGATAACTTCAGATTTGTCTGAAGCGTGCAAATATGTGCACACACTCTCACACATGGTCAAGCAGAACAAAGACCCTCTCAGCAGAGGAGCAGTCTGAGGTCACAGTTTCAAATCCCCATTCTATCTGCAGGTCAGACTGAGCTGTAACATTTCCCATCATTCCCTATTGACGTGCCTTCGAGCACAGTGATGAACCCCCAGCTGCTCCGCTGGAGCCGGTCGCACCGGGCATCTTCGGGCTGTTAATGTGTGGAAACGGCCTGAGCCTTAAAGCAAGGTGTGACATGAATGGATTTGCTGTGCAAGTTTAGTTTAGCTGCATTGCCTGTATCCTGCTCTTATGTCTAACTGGATTAAAAATCATGAAAGAACAAATACAATTCAACACTGTTTATTTTAATTTTGATGCTTGAGTTAAAACAAAAACCCCCTCTAAAAGCACTGAATAGTCTTATTTTTCATCAGTTCATATACCTTTGTCTCTGGATGATGCACAGTTCATGTGCTGAATCACTTGCAGATTTATTCTTCTTATACTGTCTTAAACTGAAGTCCAAATATCAACATCACCAGACTCTGAAGTATGATCTGTACTTTACCACAGACAGTGATGGTATGAGATATTTTAATGGTAGTGAATGGACGTCTCAGAGATTTATGAATAAACAAGTACACAGTTATATAAAACATGGGTTAAACATGTATGGCTCCCCAGCTCGTTTTGCGCTGTGCGCTTCTGCCATTTGGCACCAGGCAGGTAGTGAACAGCAAGTTTATGAGACCTGTCTATAGGATTGGTGAAAGTGGCTGAGAGTTTGAGACTTGTCTATAGGATTGGTGAAAGTGGCTGAGACTGCATCGTGCAGTGCTGCATGTCCTGTACAACTACAGCTAAAGGAGGCTAAAAACATCCATCAAGTTACAAACAAGGCAAGAGCAGTATGTGCTGCTGAATGTTGCAGGCCCTCAGACATGCTGGTGAAATGGTCTGCTGGTGTGACAGCTTTTTACTGACTAAAATGTGCTGGGGGTACTGTGTGTGTGTGTAGACAGTACATTTCAATGGATTTGGACGGTTTATTGCTGCTGACTGTAAAAGGCATCTGACCAGCAAAGCATGTAAAGCTTGGCCTTTGAAAAATGCCTTAATAAATAAATAAATACTTTTCCTATTATTTGTGTCTACATGTGGGCACTGGTTTGGATGGATCTGAAGACTGAAGGCTGCTGCTTGCTAAGCGGTTCACAGGATCCTGACCTGGCCAGTTTGTGCAGGTTGGAGAAGATTCCCTCGGGGACGCTCTCTATGAGGTTGTGGTCCAGGCTGAGGGTGTTGACGCTGACCAGCATGGCGATGGTCTCCCAGGGGATGTCCACCAGATTGTTGTAGCTCAAATCTAGGTCCTCCAGGGTCTCCAGGAAGTCCTACAAGGTGGGACAGAAATGGAGACTGTGAGTTTACGAGAAGGAAGATGAAGAAGGCAAAGGGGATAAGACGGGAGGAGTGAAGGAAAGATGAGAGAAGGAGAAAGGGAGGGAGATATTTGGGATTGGAATGGGAAGGTAAAGGGAGCTAAGGACAAACAAGAGCCAAACTGAACAAGAAAGAAGGAAGTGGAGATCGATTAGTCTGGTCAATGCTATACGCCAAAAGCAATTTGTTTTCCCTAAATGCCTCCATGCAACTCTCATAAGCAGTACACCGATGAAATGCCACGAGCCGACACACATTACATGGAGCAAAAATACAGAGAAAGACAGAGGGGGATAAGAGGGAGGGGTGTGAGGATAGAGATAATAGCCTGTTGATCAGCCAAAGTGTTGTTGTTGTTCTAATTGCTTTCATAATTCACACAATCAGGACACTATTTGAATGTCACAATGCCTCGATTCTCATTACAATAATCTGTGATTCATTGCTTCACAAACAAAGAGGATCTCATTTCTCCTCACAAAAGAAAGTTTAAGAGCTGTGAAGAGCAGTTCAAAGAGCTTTCTGAGCAGACAATCTGTGCATGATGACTGTTCTCTGCAGAAAATGACTCTGCTGTTTTAATTCACACTACTAAACATGACTCATGGTTGTTTTTATTTCCAGGCTGGATGGATGAGTGTACACAGCATCTGGCTTTGACACTGGACACTGGGATTTCCTGCCAACAGTCCTAATGCACAAACCATATAAAAGGTGGTAAATGTCAGTGTCTTTGCTTTGGCTATTGGTACAGTAGGAAACAGGACATAAACCACAGGCTCCAGCTGTGATGCTTTCCAGAGCCAATCGTCCGCCCGAACCTCTATCCTAATAGTGTTAAGACTGAATGTGAAACTAACTGCACAGAAAGACAAAAGAAAAATGTGGATGGGATTCTGGCCACTGCCAACTGATGCAAAGACACATTTAAAAGTTTTTGAATTTTGAAAAAGTGCACAACTTCAGTGATGCAATAGAGACGAGGAGAGTAATGAAGAGAAACTGCAGGAAAACAAGTTTCTGGTAAGTTTTTAAATCTGAGCTACAAACACACATAGTATCTGGTCATTCTGTTAAACCTTGAATTATGTTTAATGACTATGTCATTGTATACTTTGTCAAATATTTGTGGATCTCATTTTCTATACCACTTGGTCCTGAATAGGGTCACTGGAGCCAATCCCAGCTGGCAACGGGAGAAAGGTGGGGTACACCCTGGACAGGTCGCCGGTCCGTCACAGGGCCAACACATAGACGAACAACCACACACACACACACACACGGGCAATTTAAAGTCACCAATCAACATAAGCCACATGTCCTTGGACAGTAGGAGGAAGCTGGAGTACCTGGAGAGAACCCATGCAAGCATACAAGCATCCTTCAACATACAAATTCCACACAGAAAGGTTGCGATCCCGGGACCTTCTCGCTGTGAGGCAACAGCACTACCCACCGTGCCACCGCGCTGCCCAGTATTTGTGGATTTCATCCTCAAAATTCAAACCATGACCACACTGACCTCCACAACTTCACTAAAGGACACAATACTTTACACATCGGAACTGACAGTTGGCACTGGACACAAGTGCTTTAGTCTTTAATTGTCAAATATGAACATAATTCTTTGGGATTCTGAACTGCTCCACAGTTATGTGGAGGTTAGTATATTGGTTGCTGGTGGTGAATAAATACTGCAAAAAGTATGAAGTGAAATAAGAACTGGTTTCATGACATCCTGAACACACTGTTAGTGTTGGCTTCCCTTCACCTGGCTCCTTCAGAAAATGTTTAGTCACCTAAACCTAACTGATCTTAATCTGTGAACTAGGAATGACTTGTTCAACAATTTTCCATTTGATTCTACTTTTAGGCACAGGAATAAAAGCATGTTTTATTTGCTCACACATTTGTGATGGTGTGGGCAGCTACTGCTGTCAGATGAAGCAACAGAATGACCAGCCTTGTAAACAAGCGGTTTTTAAATCGACTTGGATTAAAATGAATGGATCGTGGAGTTGAACTTGTTGCTTGGGGGCTCTGTTTCTTTGTTATATTCATTATCAATTTAGAGGAATAGTAGCTATTCCTTAGCAATGAAATCTGTGCAAGTCTTAGCTGAACAATAGGGGAGTGATGTAGGGATAAAGGGGGAGGCAGGGAGAGATCGTTACACAGTGGGCGGGAGACAAAGAGTGAAGTTCAGGCTGAGATTCAGAAGGTTGGGTCCATCAGTGAGCTCAGGGTTCATGTCTCTCTGCTTGCTTTGAATGAAAGTCCTGCAGAGGTGTGAGAGCTGGTCCTGAGAGGTCACTTTGGTGTCTCAGTGCTGGACATTTCATGAGCAGAGAAAGGACAGCACCATTTAATGAAGAGTGGGAAAGGGTTTGTTTAGGGCCAACTTATTAAAAAGGAGTCCAGCTGAGCAGAGGAGGTGGCACAGCTGCATGGTTCTGCTGGACTTCAGAGCCGAAGCCAGCAATGTGGAAACGTTTTCACACAGAACTGGACTCTCAGCTGAAGAGCTGTAAATGACTTTGCAATAACTTCTCAAACTGAGAAGCTTGGCAAATGGCAGCAGGTGATGGATCATGCGGTTTGTTGGCAGCACTGATCCAAAGTTGTTAGATTTCAACTAGTTTGACTTTGTTAGTGTAGTGTGAGTGTTCCCAGTGGAGCCGGTGGCAGCAGGAGAAGAGCACTTCTGATGCTCTTCCACACATTTTCTGCTTCCTTGATCTGATCTTTAGACAAGGACTGATCACTGAGCAGGCCTATTTGGCACAGACCCAGGGGCCCAAGAGTTTAGAGGGCCCCTGGGTCTGAGTCTCTATTTGAAAAAGAGACAAAACAATCTCAAAGAGACACAAAACTAATACACAGACACACAAAAGGACAACAAAGAGCTGCAGAGTGATTGCGAAGACTCAGAAATACTACAAAGATGCACAAAAATACTGCAGGTAACAAGCAAAGTGACTACTGTAGAAATAAAGGCAAAGTGACTGCAAAGAGAACCAAAATGGCACAAAGACTCAAAACTACTATGAAGACATGCAAAACAACAACAGATAGCTGCAGACTGATTGCAAAGAAACAAAATGATCACAAAATGGTGCAGAATGACCAAAAAGACAAAACAGCTACAACAAGGTCATAAAAGTAAAAGTGGTAGTAGTGGCAGTTCTGTAGTATTAGCATTAGCATTAGCATTAGCAGTAGGAATACTGATACTTTGGTTTGCATGAAAAGCAGAACAGGGGCCTATTTCAAGAAGGCGGTTTTGTCGAAACTCAGAGTTTGTTAACCCCGAA